CCTCCTCCCCTTCTTTATGGGCTTTCATTTCGGCCATTATTTATAAGGAGAAGTTCGCCAGATTTTCTGCATGGGAGACTTATGCAAGAAACAAATTATCCGCATTGGATGCAAAATGCGATTGGTTAGAGTACATTAACTACATAAGTCCTGTTTCATAGAGGAAATTTATTGCCAAATTCAGAAAATTACTGGAATTTTTTTTGTGACAAAAACTCTTTTGCACAGATTTCTAAACAACAGGGAACAAGCGTCGAAACACAAAGAAAACGCATTTTGACGGTGCGACTGGAGAAAATTCGTGCGAAGAAAAATAAACACAATGAACAGATTGTACGCATATATCAGGTAAAATTGTATTGAAATTCTTAAATTTTTACGAGTTTTTTGCTGTGTAATAACAGTACAAAACGCATATTGTCAGGGGGTTGTCCGTGTGTGCGTTTGTGTGTGTGTGTGTGTGTGTGTGTCCGCAGCAACTTGTTCGCAACTTTCAACTCGGGAACTACAAAAGCTAGGAAGCTGAAAATTTAGGGTAACATTCCCCACCCACGTGTGACCCCGCAGATTTAAATTCAGCCTCTCCGTACCCGCAGGTAACAAGTATGGCCTCGTGAAACTTTTGGCGGATAATGACTTCATTGTCTAGGGAACCGCGGAATCTAGGAAGCTGGAGTTTTACGGGTATGTTCTCTACCCAAGTGCGACCCAGAAAATTTAAATTCAGCCTTTTTGTGCCCGTGGGTAACATGTACAACCCAATGGAACATTTGGCGGGTAAATTACTATCTCGGGAACCGCGGAATCGAGGAAGCTGAAATTTTAGTGGATTGTTCCCTGCCCGCTGCAAACCCTCAAATTTAAATTTAGAGCAGTGAAAATCATTAGTAGGCAATCGTTCGGTGAACGAAATGTTTCTCCGAGTATAGTTTTTTGGTTTTATTATTGTTTTTTTTTTCTTGATTTAAGATTTTCCCCTTTTTAGATTTATAACGTTCCCACACGTTTGCTTTTGACACACAAATGTTCTACTGATTCATTAAA